GAATGGGTACCAGGTAAAGTCCTGGGAAGTAAAGGCGACCGGCTTGATGCTGACCACATCACCCACCAAGCGCCGATTGGTCTATAAAATATAGGTCTAGCCCTGTATGGCTAATACGCACGAAGTCGTAGAAAGGGGTTCTTTACTTTATATGTATAATGCAAGCAGATCCTGATATACAGCTGTAAGTAAAAGTATTATTCTTTGGTCATGTGTTGAGGGTGGAGGCTTTATAGATCATTGTGACGACTGGAAAGATCAACGGAAGAAAATGGAGGGGCAGACCAAGAGAGATGATGACAAATGGATTGTGAGACAGTGGCAGGGAGGGTTATCATTGGTAGAATTGATCCAGAGGACACAGGACCGAGATCTGTGAAAATGCATAAACGCCTACGCCAGTCGGCAGGTCACGTAATTATACACACAAACACACACACACACACATACATACACACATACACACGCAGTTGTGTATAGGGAGGGGTGGAACTCAAACGCCTAAGCCCATAGATGCCCGCGCCCCCGACAACAACACAGAAGCCGCCTTCCAGTACACTCAGGCAACAAACATACACAATACATACATAATCCTGTCACACATAGCTGGAGGCATGTCATGGTCTGTTTAATCCCGATAGGCTATACTGGGATTATTCATTGTCTACTGTCACCTGGACCAGTGTATTTGTAGGTAGTTATGCGCTCATGCAGTTGTGACGTTTTACACTGGCTTCCTTTTCATTTGTCAGGCGTTTGTTATTTTGTTTTCAGTTTGTGTTACCCTGTTGCGTTGGCAGGCAGACACATGTGTGCGCACACGCACACATAAACTTTTGAGAAGTTGTGAGAAAGACATGTACTTACAGACAAATACATATGCGCACGAACAACCGTTCTGTGCTACTGGCGTAGAGACAATACATACAACCATTCTATGTAACTGGCGTAGAGACAATACATACAACTGTTCCGTGTAACTGGCGCAGAGACAGTATGTACAACCGTTCCGTGAAACTGGCGTAAAGACAATGTCACAATACACACAACCGGTCTGTGTAATTGGCGTAGAGACAATACACACAACCGTTCTGTTTAACTGGCGTAGAGACAGTACATACAACTGTTCTATGTAACTGGCGTAGAGACAATACAACCGTTTCGTGTAACTAGCGTAGAGACAATACATAAACCGTTCTGTGCAACTGGCGTAGAGACAATACATACAACCGTTCTGTGTAACTGGCGTAGAGACAATACATACAACCGTTCTGTGTAACTGGCGTAGAGACAATACATACAACCGTGTTGTGTAACTGGCGTAGAGACAATACACACAACCGTTCTGTGCAACTGACGTAGAGAAAATACACACAACCGTTCTGTGTAACTGTCGTAGAGACAATACAAAACCGTTATGTGCAACTGTCGTAGAGACAATACACACAACCGTTCTGTGTGACTGGCGTAAAGACAATACAACCGTGCTGTGTAACTGGCGTAAAGACAATACAAAACCGTTATGTGCAACTGGCGTAGAGACAAAACATACAACCGTTATGTGCAACTGGCGTAGAGACAATACATACAACCGTTCTGTGTAACTGGCGTAAAGACAATACAACCGTTCTGTGCAACTGGCGTAGAGACAAAACATACAACCGTTCTGTGCTACTGGCGTAGAGACAGTAGGACGGGAAATTATGGTGTGCAATAAAGTGGTGCAGAACAAGCCAATTTATCTGTTTGTTTGTCACCCTCATTGTCTACAGCAGTAGTAGTAGTAGTACATTTTACCCCACTAGGACATCACACAAGCGATTAGCACCCGATGACGCAAAGTGCTGCCATGTGGATGAGGATCACCCGTGGAGAGGTCCCGGAAACCGCGTTCATCAATTAGGCCAAATTTATGGCCGATCTATATTGCGGCCCCTGGCAAAAACCAGGGTGAGGCTTCAAAATAACGAAAAATTACACCCCACACGGGGATGACTAGTAATTGATTTACAGCAATAAAAACAGACATGTTGATTGACTAACACGGAAAACGGGCGTTGGTTTTTAATTGTTGGATATCATGCATTTTCTTCCTCCTGTGTGTGTTCGAGGAGCTCAGTTTTGGGAAACAAAGCTTAGACCCCTATGCCCACCTACTAAGCATGTCGTAGCAGTAGGGTCACCATAATATTTTTAGCTAAAAACGGGACATTCCACTAAGAGTTTTAGCTGAAAACGGGACATTCCACTAATATTTTGAACTGACAACGGGACATCCTAAGCAGGTCATTTTAACTCTGCCTCCCCTGTCCCCTTTTTATCGATGTCACCAGGGTGACAGGGTTAAGTGCTCGCTCGGTAATGGTAATGGCAATGTCGCCAAGAAATCAACGAAACAATATACTCCTCAATTATATTACATTGAAAATTACAATCAGCAGATTTCAGGTATTAAAGGTATTTAAACCTACTAACTCTAATAAGATCGCCAGATATAACTATAAGGGGGGTGTAGTATTATCGAGATTATTCCCATATTTCTTCCTTTTTGTTTTTATTAAACGAGACAGCCGTAGTTATTTGTGGCCTACTGGCGGAACGGCTGGGGCACACCTAAAATACAGGAATGTCCTGGTGAAAACGGGACGTATGGTTACTTTACGTAGGAGGTGACTAACCAGGGATGTTGCCTTCGAAGTCGGAGTGTTTCTGCCTGAGAGGCCAGGAACGAACAGTCTACATTTACAAATAAGCCAAATAAAAACGGATGAGCACGCAAAACTCAGGTTCTGGATCCCGACCAAAGTCCAGGAGTGGTCGAACAACCAAAACTTTACGTGGGAGTTTACAGGAGGGTGAACGCTAAGAAGAAGAAAAAGACAACATGTTGACTGATGGACCCTTTCTTATTCGTGTCGTGGCTGGAGTCAGATTATTGACAGTTAAAGAAACAACACAAAATACATTATACTCGTCAAATATTATGTATGCTCAACTCTACTGTATGTTGCAGAAACCTGGATAATGAACAAACAGCTAGAGAATCGAACTGAGTCTCTGAAAGTGTGGATATATAGTAAAATTAATCGTATTTCGGGGAAAAGGAGGGGGGGGGGGGGGGGGGGGGGGGGGATATAAACAATACAATGCAGAGAATGTGGGGGAGATGTGAATTGAAAGAAAATTTCACATTACAGCCACATTACAAGACGTAACACTCTTTTAAAAATTACACTGGAGCTCAAATTCAAAGGCAGGAGGGCAAGATGTAGACAATAATGCAAGTGCCCGACAAAAGTAACTAAACTCTCTCTCTCCCCCCCCCCCCCCTCTCTCTTTCTTGTTGTACCCCACCAGGACATCACACAAGAGATAAACACCCGGTGACACAAAGTGCCACATGCGGATGAGGATGTAGAAGTCCCAGAAACCCCTTTAAAAACTAAACGAAATAATATGCTCTTTAACTGCACTGATCTAAAACCAAATCACCGCAATGAAAATTCCCACCAAAATAGACTTGAAAAACCGGACTGTGTCTGTAACAACGAGACACATGGTCACCATACTCCTATGTCGACCCAGTAGAAAATAAAATTGTTACTATGTAATCTACGGGGACGTAAAGGCGGCCGGCATGATGTTCACCACATCAACTATCGAGTGCTGAAGGCTCGTATAACATATGGGTTTAGTCACAGGTCGAAAGGGTCGTTTACTTTTTACTTGCCTCTCATCTTCGTGATAGTTTATTTTATGTTGAATTTTTTAAAATGGTGTTCGCCTCGAGTGCTACAGGTCCCGGGTTCAAGCCCCGGCGAAGGCTGGTATTTTTTCCCGTGGACTTCTAGTAATTTTCCCTGTTCTGTTAGCAGTAAGATCTGACGTGTGTATTCTTACGCACGTAAAAAATCTACTGGCAGTTGGAAATCAAAAAGAGTAGGAGGCTAGCGCGCTGCCCGGGCAAAATTTTGAGTTAAAAATCAACCCAAAGTATTTCAGGGTGCTCGCTGGTGCAACAGAGTTCATGCACTGCGCTGAGATTCTTCACTCAGCTTAAGTTAGAAGAAGAACGGAGCACTTATGGGTTACACCCGTGTGCCATGATGTTGATCCGTCTACTAAACTTAAACATATCTTCTTCGTGATAAGTCGGCGATATTTTCACCGACGATTGTCTTTAATGGAAGTTTATGCTGTTTGCAACCACCTAACAACCTTTTTTCGTTATTGATCTGAGCAATTTTCACTATTCATTACCTTTTTAATTTGTCAGTGTGTGTTAAAGTGTGTTTGATTTTCAAATAATTACATCATCATTTTGTAGCAGGTCTTTTGCAGAACGTCGCTCTCATCACGGTCCGCCTGAAAGAAACTGAATCCTCTCGTCGCGTGCACATTCCTACCCCAAATTCACTTATTTGCCGTATCCATCTTTGTGCTGTTCGGCCCCTGCCCCTCTTTCCCGGTAATGTGCCTTCTGCGACTATTTGTTTCCATCATGCGAGGCGTTTGATATTGAAAAATACTTCACTTTCCAAGAGACGTTGTTGTTTACCAGCCAATCTTTGTTCATGTTCAGATCTTTTAGGATATCAGTATTTTGTTTCTTCTTTGCCCTTGGTATTCTGAGAATCTTTGTATAGCTATATAATGAAATGATTATATGAGGACTTTTCACTCATTCACTCATTCACACACACACGCACGCACACACACACACACATATAATACACTCACACATACACTTACACACATATAATACACTCACACCCACAGACAGACAAACAGATAGGCATATATACATACACTTCACATATACACACAGACACACACACACACGCGTATACACACATGGGCACATATAAACATATAGACACACAAATACAGGCTAACAAGCACACATGTAATGGGTCAGACGGACAAACGTACACATTTACATAATAGCTAAACCGACTGGTTAAATTACTGATCAGTTAGTTGACATATATATGACTTACCTTTGGGGAACAGAGCTCTACTTCTTTGAAAGGGTTGACTGATATAAGAATGTCCCCACAATTAGTCTGTAAGAAAAGTAACTATTGCAATAAACCACGTGAGTAATGAATTGTCATAAAATAGTTTTAAAAAAACACATTCGTGTTTGTAGATATTCGTTTATCTTCTTCAACAGCATTCCGGGCTCTCGAGGTTCATTGTTGTTGCATTTCTGTGCCTGGTCTTCTGTTTCCAGCTGGGTGCTCAGAAAACGTATGGGTCTAACTGGATATTGTCTCTCCGTGGTCTTCTTGGCTTGCCTAGTCTTCTTACTTCCATACAACTCTATCCCTTACACAGTTTGGGGTGGGTAGGGGGGGGGGTGAGGGGGGGGGGAAGGGGGTGGGGATATCATTTTCTCAGTATATCCCCACCATTTGCGTCTATTAGCCACCACAGTGCCAGTAATTCGTATCAATTTCAACAAATCACAGTCCTTGTGTGTGTGTGTGTGTGTGTGTGTGTGTGTGTGTGTGTGTGTGAGTGTGTGTGTGTGTTAACTTCACACTTTCCACTCACTGCTGGATGTATATCTGAGGAGTCCAGATATTTGACATCAGGTCATTCTCAGAAGTTTGTAATAAAGGACCCTAGCTTCTGATTGTATTGTACTCCTAGTTTTAGAGCCAAATAGGTGAATCAGTATTATCCGTCTGTTTATCTTCGTCTTCTTCTTCTTCAGCATTTCGAGCCCTTGAGGTTCATTGCTGCGGATATCACCCGTCTCCATTCATCTCTCTGGTTGGCCTCCTCTTTCCAGTTGGTAACACTAAGTGTTTGCAGGTCTGTGTGGACATTATCTCTCCATATTTTTCTTGGTCTGCCTCATGGTCTACGACCATTAATCTCTTTGTGTATACTTCGCTGTCATCTTACATTCTTTCAATATGCCCCCACCATTTGAGTCTATTTGCTCTCATAATGCCATGCGACATGTTTATACATCTTGTAAATATTTACTTGTATTAATCTCAGAATTCACATCATTACCCAAAATAGTTTTCATTGCTTCCAATAAAATGAAAAACTGCACTGTTTATGGCGACAGTTCTAGCCATGCGGCATTACATTATCAATTTCAGGACTATCTACGTTACTCTGTGTTGAATGCTAAATTAAAAATCAACATCACTCCCGTAAGCGCTTTGTCCCCATCTCCAGAAGCAAGCGAAGAGATCCATTTCCAACGGTACCACTAACTGTGTGATTGTACATACGCCTCGCCCTCTGCTTGAGTGCTGAGCGTCAGCCAGATCCACTGATAGCTCCTCGCAGCGCCATTCTCCTCAGACAGTAATGATCTTTTGGTGCCTCTGCACTGTTCATTCGCATTTAAAGGGCCCCACAGCACCCTGCTTGTCATATATCAACTCACCACCAAGTGGTGCAGAACCGGCCAGTCTGTCTGCCTGCGACCCCCATTTGCTAGAAATAGTTTTATGCTCTTTACAGAAGACTGCGAAATAACTCTAGTATTTAGTGACATTTTTGTGATTTAACTAAGCAGTTTTACGTTCAGTAGTTTGCCGCTGCTTTCTGAATGGTTCTATGCTCACAACAATGCAGTCCCCCTCCAAATCGTCTGCAGTTGAATCGAATCCAGCATGTCAGAACTATGAAACTTCATTCATAGCTATTGAGCCTCAGACGCACACCCCTATTATTAAAGGCTAAAAAAAAAAAAACAACAACAACAAAATAGAAGTTAAAAAAGTTGAGTTGAGTTGAGTCGAGAATTGACATCAGAGCACTCAGGGCATTCCCATGCATGCGCCGTCCTCATCTTCAGCAACCAAAGCGGAGTTCCTTTACTGATGGTACTGGTCACAATCGGGTTAAATGTCTGTCTTGCTTTCCTCTGATTGTAGTGAGCCGGCCAGACTCTCTGGTTACACCCAGGTGCCTCATTTTCTTCAGGCCATTACCTTCTTTTTCTACTGATTTCATTGCTTGTACCCAAAGCGCTTTGACCACATCTGCCTTGTCATGTATCAATTCACCACCCAGTGATGCAGATCCAGCCAATATGTATGTCTGTTCATTACCCACCCCGACGGCAAAGCCCGGAGATAATATCCTCAGTATGCTCACTACCCGTGACTTCCCAGTGAAGCTTGCCACTCTGCTCGAAGCATCCCTGTCTTCACCTTTCCCAGCATGCTTTCAGAGTTTGTTACAATTACGACATGTGTATGCATCTTATTCTCTAGCCAACAGAAAGCTGCAGTTACTGCCTCCACCTCCATTCTCATGCTAGATGTTGTGGTGTCGTCAGGCACTTCTCTTTCCTCTCAACATTGAACCAATCTTTATAGATAATCAGATCACCTGGGCGTGAATTGTCGTGAATCCGCTGTTGAACTTTAACCTCCATAGCACCCACTGGCCACTCTCTGCCCAACAGGCCCAATGTGATCATAACCCTGCACAGGTCAGACTTTTCCGTTGGTACTCTGTCCCACTCCTTTCCTCGCCCACTGTTCTCCAGCATGCATACTTGTCTTATTGTGTCTTCTGCTTGAGCCATCCACGATTTTCCCCTTTTCAGCTTCTGACCCTTGCCTGCAGCCAAAGCTTCATACTAAGGGTGTTTCCTGTCTGCAGCTACTCTGAGGTATGACGTAGCATGCAGCACCTTTAACCTATCTGCAATAATCGCAATGCAAGGATGTATCGCATGTACACACTCGGGGTGTCTCTTGTACAACCCAGGTTTAACCGCATAGCTTCATTCTGTATGCGCTCCAGTTTCTCTAGCTGACTCTTCGAGACAGTGAGTAACCCCGAAACATAATCAGTCACTGAGATGATTAAGTGCTGGTAAAGTGTGAACAACATTCTCTGCTTCATGTCCATCGCTGTCATAATCTTAATGCATTTCGACCTTTTTGAACCCTTCTATGTGATCCCTGAAAGACGAACTTCTGTCAAAGGTGATTTCCAGGTACCGCAGTCTGCTGTGAAATTATACATGGTTCAGAGGTCCATAAACCCAGGCGGAGAGCTACCAGGCGAGTATACAAAACGGCTGCTATCCAGTTCACCAACCAAGGACAGACTCCCTTCTCCATAAGCGCTTTCGTCAAGATACTGTATCTGACTCTGTTGTAAGCATCTTCTAAATCAAGTGCCGCTACCACTGTTTCCTGTCTGTTCTAGAAACCTTCGAAGGTATCAAAGGCAAAAATGGCTGCATTTGACCATGTGTCCTTCCCCGGCCGGTAACTTCCAAATCCTCGTGGAGGGAGATTTCTCGGTTCCAAAAAGTCTTGTAGCTTACCCGCCACTATCTTCTCCAGCACTTTACCAGTGGTGTTTTATAGGGTTATGATCCTAAAGCCCCCGAGTGTTGAATGATTCTTGCCAGGCTTAGGAAGTGGAATCAGGTAGCTGTGCATCCACTCTTCTGGGACAGAAGCTGTCCTAATGCTCTGGTTAAAACAAGCAGTCATCTCCACCAGGCCTGCGCCACTCTTGCCTTTCGTGTGGGAATATCTAACCCCCTCGGGCCCGGGTGCAGTGTCTCTAGCCCTTTTCAGAACTGACTCTGTTAAAAAAAAGTTATGTTAAATATTGATCTCTGCAGAACTGAGAACGTCGGAAATACGATTGTAGCAATTTTCCAAGGAGAAGCAGCTGGTTTGATCACCAGAGCACAATTGTATGGCATTAACTGAGATTCACATTGTGACTATCCATTAGAGTTTCATGGAAACGATCAACTAACTTCCTACCAGTTTATAATATATTTCATTCTGCGTTTTTTTTTTTTTTTTTTAAAGATGGTATAAATAACTTTATGAGATTCACAAGTAAATATTTCCTTAATTAGAAGTTAAGACTTCGGGAAGTGGACAGACGGGATTTGGATCACAAACAGACCTATTTTTTTCTTCAAATAAAATCCAGTTCGGGAGTATTTTAAAGTACTTTAAGGTGCAGATGTGTGAAATGACGTCTTCTTCTGACTAGTACGACTTGAAGGTGTTCCGCATTTCCTCCGCTGTGCTTTCTAGTCACAGTTTATGTTGTATTTACTTCTCTCTTCTTTGCATTCACCAGCTGTAAAGTCGGGAAAGGGGGAGTGGGGGAAGGGAGTTCTGGTTTTTCGTCCACCACTGGACTGGAACGCCACAGTCTCTCTTGATAAAGAATTATACAATTTTGAGAACAGATGTTTTAGAAGAATATTGAATCTCCACTGGGCAGATCTGAGATCCAATACGCAAATAAGACAAGAGACTTAGCAAGAAAATGTATACTATTTTATATTAAAGTGCCGCTGGAATTACATCAGCGATGCACTCAGAACGGATCAGACAAGACTCCCCCATCACGCTCTCATATGGACACCAGAAGGGAAAAGAAAACGGGAAATTTCTGCATTGCAGAAATTAGGACAAGATTTGTCATGGCACACGTGGCATTTAGCAACATGCAAAGGATACTCACCAATAAGAAGATATCACCTGCAATGAAAACAAGAGTGGGAAACAGCTATGTTGAACCTGTGTTGTTATACTATATGTATGTGAGACGTGAACAGCTGCATAACATTTAGTGGCAGCAAAGATGCGGGTTCACATCTGCTGAGGTCAAAGTCTCTATTTTGCAATACCAAGATCAAAATATACAAAACCTTAATAAGAGTCGTTTTATATGGCTCTGAAACGTGGAGCACAAAAGAGATGAAGCCTTATTACAAAGCTTCGAAAACAGAGTGTTACGACGAATCTTTGGACCTATCAGTGAATGGAGAATGAGAAGCAACAACAAAATTCACAATCTGTTCAAATCACCATTGATCACTATCGTCATAAGCTCTAATAGACTGAAATGGCTGGGGCATACTGAGATAATGTCAGACGACAGAGAGGTAAAAACTATATACACAAGGCGGCTTAATTGACGTAGACCACTAGGCCGACCAAGAAGACGATGGAGAGATAATGCCCAGACAGACCTACAAACACTTGGTGTTACTAATTGGAAAGAAAAGGCCAACCAAAGAGATGAATGGAGGCGGGTGATATCTGCAGCAATGAATCTTAAGGGCCCAGAATGCTGAAAAAGAAGAAGAAGAAGAAGAAGAAAGATTTGGGTTCTGAGAATAATACAAAGAATATCATGGAGTGACAGAAAAACAAACGAAGCGATCATCATCGAGACAGATGAAAGTCGTCACCTTATTACAACAATTAGAAGTAGACAGTCTTGTGTGTGCGTGTGTATGCGCGCGTGCGCGTGTGCGTGCGTGTGTGTGTGTGTGTGTTATGTTGTATGTAACGAATCTTAGAATGTGCGCAGACAAATTAAGAAGAGTTTAGAGGCAACTGAGATGTGGTTCTTGAGAAGAATGTTGCGAATACCTTGGACTACCAAGAATAACTAACAATGATTGCCTAGAAATGGCTAATGAAAGTAGAACATTGTATACGACAATGAGAAGGATACAAACAAAGTTCTTTGGTCATGCGATGAGAAAAGAAGCACTGCCTCTCAGGCAGATGCACTTCGACTTCGAAGAAAGCCTCAAAATAGTCGACTTTTACGACATACTTGTTGAGGATGAGATGGGTCAGTTCTTGTTTTCCCCTATAATGAAGTGCCGAAATTCACACGGGGAAAGAACAATACGACAATTTTCATAAAGGAGAAAAAAATGTACAGGTACTTACGTATATGAGGTCTTGTTTGTATCTCTTTTCTAAACAATCCGATATTGTGTCCAGAGACAAGACAGGCAGCAAAGCCAAGTTCTTTACTTCTACATTATCCCCCTTAAGATTGAGAGAATTGTCGCTGATGAACTCACTGCCGGACTCAGAAATCTGACTCTCCAATTTCCTGGGAGATATAGGTGTGTCCATCTTGCTTTGGTCATAACTGAATCCCGGTAAAAATATTTTAACACCCCCAGCCGGCCTACTAACATGATTGCCAATGTAAGAATTCGGAACTTTCTTTTTATTGAGAATGTTTGACTCTGATTCTTGATCAGAGTGGTCGTAGTCTGGTTTCGTTGACCGTCCAAGGTGACTGTCAGGGGTTGCAACCATAGCTTTGGACGGCTTAATGCTGGCATCGTAATCTGGTTCAAGCTGGGAATCATCATGGTTGTCCCTGGGGGGTACAGATGGTCTATAACTTTCACCGTAGTCGGGTTGTGGGTCGTGAGACATTCCACGTAAAGGAAAGCTGTTAGTTCTTGATTTGTCAGTCTTCTTAATCAACAGCTTAGGTTCCCTTCTGTCGTTCATTTCTGGAACTTACTAGAGACTTCGCCCCCACATGTGATCATAGCTTCTTTTCTTGATTTTGCCTCTCATGCGTTCCGGCTAGTATTTTTTAAAAATCGTTATTTTTGTCTTGCGCATATACTCTTCTTTAGTGTTGTAACTTTGTTGATTGTGGCAAAATATTTGTAAAGAGCATCTTTTACATTATAGTCATGCTGAGTAGGTGCCATAATAACTTTAGTCTTCTTAGTTAGCCCAGCTCAAGTTGATTTCTGAAAGAAAAAAAAAACATTAAAGGTACTATTGGCTTAAATTACATTTTTATCTTAAACTTCACATTTTCATAAGAAAACAAACAGTGCATGCAAATCAATCAAGTTGTAGGAAAATCCTAACGACTGAAGATGAGAAAACAATGAATCCGTTGCATTGGACACTGACGAGCATCAAATAGAAAGAATTCAATAAATTCAAGTAAATTAGAAGTCTACTTAAGCGCTTATACTTGTATATAAGAAGGGGAGAGATCGGAATCAAATAGCTGAAGAGTTATAGGCGATAGTAGACAAGGTGATCGACTGGTGTACAAAGATGAGTGCTGTAATTAATCCAGAGAAGGCATCAGTCCTGTGGTGTTCTCTTTGGACAACAGGATTGTTAGAGCTGATGTTCACAGACTCAGAATAAATGGTCGGGACATCAAAAGAGACAGCAGAAAGCAGTATCTGGGAAACACGATGGACACAAGTTTGGCTTTCAAGGATCACAGAGAGGGAGTTGTGACAAAGGCTCGAAAAGCTCTTTATGCACTAAAGATTATGGCAGCGATGGACATGGACCAGAGTTTGCTGTTCACACTTTATCAGCACTTGATCATCTCAGTGATTGATTATGGATTGGGGTTACTCGCTGTCTCGAAGTGAAGTCAGCTAGAGAAACTGGAACGCATTCAGAATGAAGCTATGCGGCTGATCTTGGGATTTACAAGATACATCCTTGCATTGCCGACTGTTGCAGATAGGCTAAAGGTGCTGCATGCTAAGTCATACCTCAGAGTAACTGCAGACAAAGAACACCCTTTGTATGAGGCATTGGCTGCAAGTAAGAGTCAGAGGCTGAAAAGGGGAAAATCTTGGATGGCTCAAGCAGAAAACACAATAAGACAAGTATGCATGCTGAAGAACATTGGGCGAGAAGATGACTGGGTCAGAGTACCAGAGGAAAAGTCTGACCTGTGTAGGGTTATGATCACATTGAGCCGAGTGGGCAGAGAGTGGCCAGCGGGTGTTACGGAGGTGAAAGTCCAACAGTGGATTCACGACAATTCACGCCAATGTGATCTGGTTATTTTTACAGATAGTTCGGTATTGAGAGGGAAGAAATGCCTAGAGGCTTACAGCGAAAAGCGAAAGCCAGTGGACAGCCTAGTATACGACACCACAACATCTAGCATGAGAATGGAGATGGAGACGGTAACTGCAGCTCTCCGTTGGCTAGAGAATAAGATGCATACACATGTCGTAATTGTAACAAACTTTGAAAGCATGCTGGGAAAGGTGAAGACAGGGATGCGTCGAGCAGAGTGGCAAGCTTCACTGGGAAGTCACAGGTAGTGAGCATACTTTGCATCTTTTCTCCAGGTTATGCCGGCGTGGTGGGTAATGAAGAGGCAGATAGACTGGCTAGATCTGAACCACTGGGTGGTAAATTGATACATGGCAAAGCAGATTTGGTCAAGGCCCTTTGGGAACAATCAACGGAATCAGTAGAGAAACAAGATTATTATGCCTGGAGAGAATGAGGCACCTGGATGTAACCAGAGGGTCTGGCTGGCTCACTACACTCAAGGAAAGGCAAGACGGACATATAACCAGACTGTCCGTGTACCATCAGTATTGGAACTCTGTGCTGTGGCTGCTAAAGATCATTAAGGAGCACGCCTGGGAATGCCCCGATTGCTGCCAGATTTCAATAACTTATACAGAACGGTTTCTGAGGTACAGATTTTTAAAGCTGGTCACGACATCTGGAACGGACTATATAACGCAGTCGGTAAACCCAAGAAAAAGATTGGTGACATTAGGGACACTATATGCATACACGAAATGTCAGCGGGTCCATGTGTTAAGATGGCACTGGCGTTCCCATATATATATATATATATATATATATATATATATATATATATATATATATATATATATATATATATATATATATATATATATATATATATATATATATATATATATATATATATATATTCAAAATAAAAACAATTTTCTTCATCTGCCTTTATAACCTCTAAAGAAGCATAGGCCCTCAATCAACTCACACCAAGTCGTTCTATCCTTCGCTATCGTATGCAGCTCTCCCCATATCATCCTCATCTTTTAAACTTCATTCTCCAGCTATCTTCTCCGTGTGATTGTTTTCTTTTATTTCCATGTCCCTCTGGGTTCCAGTGCAAATACATTCTAGTTACCTTTCTCGACGTGTGTCCTATCCAACGCCAGCGTCTTTTCTTCACCTCTTGGTCCACTGGAACTTTATGGTTCTCCACAAAAGCTCTACATTAGCGATTCTATCATACCATTTAATTCCCTCTATTCTGCGTGGGCACAAGTTAATTAATGTTCGTAGTTAATTACTAACTGCCTTAGTTATTCTCCATGTTTCCGCTCCGTACGGCAGTACTGATTTGACATAAGAATAATCCCCCCCCCCCCCCCCCCCCCCAAAAAACAAAAAATTTTAAAAATTAAAGTTTATTATTAGTTTCAATTTCTTCTAACCTTTTTATCAAAATTCAACTAGCCTTATAATAAGGTGGACGATGACATCTATTTTTTGCATACTTCAACTTTATTTAAGTTACAACAGTTTTCTCCCACTTATTGTTTTTTCCATTGCAAAGTCTGTGATAAGATCCTCTATTCTAATCTTATGTGAAACAAATGCTTCTATACTTAACAGAGATAAGGCACGACCGGCTCCTGCTGACGGGCCGTGCTGCTGATGACCCCGGGTCGGATAACAATGCGTTGACGCAGTGGTTCTCATACAATAAATAAACTATTTTCGACAGTGGTGGGGGAAGACAACTTAAATTTTAACTGTTAAGTATCTACACGCCTTCTTAAATAGTTTCCCAGTTTTTTGCCGACTTTTCCTGATTATTGCCGTGAAACCTTTGGGATACACTCACGGCACCCCAAGATGCCCTAGCACCCAGTTTGAGAACTGCTGCGTTAACGCATCATTAGCCCGACCCGGTGACGTCAGCAGCACTTCCGATCAGCTGGAACCGGTCGTGGATAAGGCATCCAGCATGCCTTTTTGCATAGTTATTCTGGTAGAAATTTTTAAAAATATACATTACATGTACTTCAACTGAGAACAAAATGCTCAGCCTCAAGCTTTTGAAAAGTTATGTAGTGCCCACCCCCTTTATGATGCCCCTATGCACGTGCTTGGTGTGCTTAATTATAATCCGGTCTTGTGCATATTAGACTCATATTTTAACAAACAAATAGACACTCGATGAGTGCAGTTACCTCCCCCACCTCCATTCTTTAGCTTGATGTTGTGGTATTATATTGTAGGCTCTTCTGCCCTAAACGTTGACCATTAGCTTTTGCCGAGAACCCATAGGCAATTTTTTTTTGGGGGGGGGGGGGGGGGGGGGGGGGGCTCTTGACGCGGAACCATCGGTATAAAAATCATATTATCCGAGCGAGCATTATAGTGAGGAATTTCCACCTCCGTGGCACCTGCTGGCCACTCTCTGCACTCCCGGTTTAGTGTGATTATAACTCTACACAAGTCAAATCTGACTGTTCTTCTGATACTCTGCCCTGCTCTTTTTCTCGCTATATGTTCTCCAGGATGGAAACCTATCTGGTCGTGTCTTACGCCTAAGCCATCCATGATTTCCTTCTTATCGACCTCTACTTCTTAACTGCATCCAGTTCTTCGTACATATGGTGATCTGTGTCTGCAGCTACACAGAGTTATGACTTCCCTTGCAGTACCTTACCAAGATGCATCGTGTACATACTACTGGGGTGTCGCTGGTATATCCCAAAATGACCCGCATAGCTGCGTTCTGTATGTAAAGTTGCATTTTAACTGCATGGATAATGGAACTATATCGTCGTTTTTGGGTGTGTGTATTAAAAGAAATATGAAAGAATGTTTGTGCAAAGTCACAGAAACGATATTATGTAATTCTCCGAGAGGCTCTAAGCTGCAACTAAGAACATTTTTTTCTTGATTGCCTCAATGCTAAAACATCAATTATGCATCATCTTTTTCCACTTCTGGACTGTCCTGTTTCAGAACCTAACTGTTGTGTGTGCCTCTGTTTGACAGATCTGACTCATTTGTGTGCAGACTGTTGGTTCCTTGCCTCTCAGGCAGATTCACTTCGACTTCGAATAAAGCTCCCAGTCAATCACTCTTACGACATGCTTTTGGGTAGGCAGTGGGTCTATTCTTGTTTTCCCTATAATAGGGCTCCATAACCCACAGGGGAAGATTATGCATCCAAAGAAATATTGCGCAACATGTCGCCTTCTATACACACGATGCTAGGTGTAAGCAATGTTTCTTTGAGACAGTTACTCTCA